GAGACCCGTTCATAACTATGAATCTGTAAATCAACAGAAAGGTACATAGTAGGCGTTGGGACTATTCATGATCGAGGACTTTTTGAGACAAAAACTACTATCCATTTCACATTAAAAGAGAGGTGAGTATTTTTCGAATAAATTTTAAAATGAACTAGATAGAGATCTGCGATTTTCACCCTTCTCAAGAGGAAATAACAATGCATCGAATCTGGAACACCATTTTTTTCTAATAAGTTTTCTTAGTATGATCTACCCAGTTTCTAAGACAGAAAACATGGAGTAATGTCAAAGTTTTGGAAATTTAGTTTTCAATCATGTATGGCATGGATGTGGATTTGGATGAAGAGAAGACATATATCCAATCCTACCTCCATGGTATAATGTCTACATACCCACACTCTCGAATTTTTATTTAGGACAGATGGTGTTTAAATAGAAGAAAATCAGCAGATGATTTGGATGACGGCAAAAGTTACTCGTAGTGAGAATGTGATTACTTTTCCTTTCATTTCTAATTAAGAAAATTTTCTGTTTATAGTTTGATATAGCGACCGAAAATCAACTGGACCGAACTTGAAACAGCAAAACCCGATTCGATCCGGTCTCTGATTTCTACATATTTCAATTGAATAGCAAGCATAATTTTCAACTTATCAATCATTCCGATAACATGAGTTCAATGAAGACTAATAAACATTTGATGCGGATGTCATCTATTAATGATCAAAAATTAGTTGCTACTTAAAAAAATTCAAAATGTTTTGATCTGACGAAATACATTTGAACATAAAATTACAAACACAGCTTGTTTTTCAATCTAGAGAACGAATAGCGAATCGATTGTACAGAATAATTTCTTTCTTCTTATCGTGTGAGTCATAATTACTTTGTTTCATACTATATAAAGATAGAACACGTATTACTTCAATATGTTTCATTCAGTCGACTATGAGTGATATGCGAAGCATCATGAAATTTGAATTCTTACCAAATGATAAAGGAAACGGTTTCTATATACTTTACGGACTTATGAACAATTTTTTGATGATGACCTTTTCCACGTTTCGAGTTGATTCCTGGAAATCTAGTTTCAGGGTAAAATAAACTAACCATAGACGTATTCATTCCAATATTGAAACTTTGGAAAATAGAACTTGAGGTCATGTTTGCCTGGTTGCCCAGTGTAGCATACTCACACTCTCTGCACTAGAGTCAAGGAATAGCTATTAAATGTATATAAGCAGCCGTCAGTGACATGATTTTTTCTTCAAACATAAAGGTTGTATCATCTTATGACATAATCATGCAAACAGTCATGAATACTGGCTGCTGTATCATAACATAATATCGCATTAGCCAGTGAGCTTATCACTAGAGACACACAGCCTTTTTAAAAGATTCTCGAAAATTCATCATGCTTCACAGACGATGACATAAAAATCAAACACATGCAAGGTAGGGATCCTGTTGTTCATTGAAGCAAGCAAAACAAGGGAAGATGGCAGCCATGCCAACGAGCACGCTCTGATCACCAAAAGACACGGCACATTGAAGGACATACGATTGTTCACCCCAACTCCTCGGATTTTATCACTGAAAAATCATCAGTGTCATGCCGACATAACACTTTTAGACATATGCAAATCACACTCAGAATGGCACTAGAGAGTTTCTGGATCCACCGAAAAAGCTATGGGACCAATCTTATACAATCCAATAAATAGTCTCTAAAGAATCACTGGTGTCACCTCGTCACAAGCCGCCAAGATATATAAGTACTATCCTGAAAGAGGTCTTGTTTATATACGAGGATCATCACCACCAAAAATCCGAACAGATACTAGACCAATCCTGTATTGATCTAGAAGAGTAACGCAGACTAACTCTAGATAGCCATGAAAGGTTACGGGTACACCTTTTGTGTAGCCCATGAGCACAGTACAGAAGAAATACTCACGCTCATGAGCGTGAGTTGTACATCCTTGCTTGGTACCTCTAACCCTTGGTGTGTATGGTACGCATGACGCGACATGAAACCGATATTTATTTTTGAAAAAATTCGGGTTAAATTTTATTGTCAGAAAATACCAATAATATGATAAAGCAACAAAGAAAAAAGCGATTACAGAAGTTCAGCACTCGGAAGATTAGATGCAGTAGCAGCCCATGTATATGCCATTCCTGTCATAGTTTAGAAACGAAAAAGACAATCAGTAATAAGAATCGTAATAATGTTGACTGACTTACAAGCACTTGGTTTAGCAGTTGGTCACTTTAAAACTGAGAATCGTCTGCGACGATTCTTTGCTCCAGTCGGGGCACGAGAACCCAATCTGATCACCGTCGCAGTCATTTTCACCATAGAATCGAATGCAACAACTCTCATGCCATGCTCTCTCCCAAACAAACTTTTGTCCCGCGTAGAGGTGGACATTTGTACACTCTTGATTGGTTTGTCCGTCGTAGACAGTTCCAGCCAGCTGAAGGGTCCACGCGTCAGTGTTGACCGTGAGACATAGAGCAACCACCACCACGAAAGCGAAGAGGTTCATTCGTAGTTTTGTACATAAGAATTTTGACTGCAATAAAAGATTCTAAAATTATACATGTATTATGACCTCAAGAATATATTTCTCATCCTATGCACATTTATGACACAGATCGAAAGGTGTTTACTAATCATTCCTTCACTGATCATCTCTCAGTTTGTTAAACAGAATCAGTTTCTACGGATGCTACTTATTCTGTACTCTTGTTGACGTTACTCGGATGTAGAAATCTGAATTTCAAACACTTTCATTATATTCGGCTGATTGCGGTTTACGAAGAAAGACTGAAAACCGTCCTCCTGTAGTCCTACCAAGCCGATTTAAACTCACCATGTTTCACGTTGAAATGATACTAAAGAATCATTCACAATTGAGTCCTTTTATATCTAATACATTGTTTTGATCTCTTGAATATTCAATTCACAAATCCCACATACGCGATCTATGAGAGGAGACAGATTAGAATTGTCTATTTACATTAGATCAAAGTATTTTATAAAACAAAGGGAATGACATTAGAACCGTCTATTTGCATAAGATCATACTATTTCCTCGACTGTAAGGAGATCATATAAAAAAAATAAAAAAAAAATTATAGATGGGTGTGTCTGTATGTTTATGGCAAGGTCAAAAAAACATCAGCGATGAAGGTTATTTAGGTGTAGCTTCTAAAGTTTCACTAAAGGTAATCGAGATCGGATTTTATATCCGACCTTCCCACTGGGTGGGAAACCGACCAATCAGAAAAGATCTTTTCACTAAAGGACGGCGGACGTTTTCAGTGCATTTCGGCCCAATTAGAAAATGAAGGCAGATTTACCTGAAACTTTCAGCCAATATTCAACTTTATGTTAGTAGTCATCACTCAAAATTTCAGCTTGATCCGTTAAACTTTTCCTTTACTTCGACACATCAAAAACCTAGACCCTAAATATACGTAAAAATATCCAATAGAGGTGACTTTGTGTACCCTCGTTCTCCACCATACGATTCAGATCCAGAGTGATTTTTCTAGGGTCACTAGGAATCATTGAGGGCTACAATATTGCAAGGACATGAGACCCAAAACAAACCTGCATTGGTATCACTATGAAGTACACAGTCTCAAAAATTCATGAAAAAGCCCTATAGAGGTAACCTTGTTGAACTTCGTTCTCCACTATACGATTTAAAACTACGGTAACTTTCCTAGAGTCCGTTGGAATCCGTAGGGGCTACAATATAGCAAGCATATTAGGTTGAGTGAAATCTGCTGTAGTATGAATATAGGGTCCATAGTCCCCAAAATTCATGGAAAAGTGCCTTAGAAGTAACCTTGTGGGCCTTCATTCTCCACTATTTGATTCAAACGTGGAGTGACTTTTCTGAGTGTTGGTCCCAACGTAGGGTCGGTGTGGAGTTGGTATTCCTGTAGTGATAGAAAAGATCCACACCCACACCCACAAAATGTGTCGCAACGAGCACCTCGTGTCGTGCTTTAATGTGTCGTGCATTGTGTCGTAAACCACAACACATGCGACACATTTTAACTTAGTGTGTATATTTAGGGTCTAGGTTTTTAATGTATCGAAGTAAAGGAAAAGTTTAACGGATCAAGCTGAAGTTTTGAGTGATGACTACTAGGATAAAGTTGAGTATTTGCTGAAAGTTTCAGGTAAATCTGCCTTCATTTTCTAATTGGACCGAAATGCACCGAAAACATCCCCCGTCCTTTAGTGAGCTATAAATCATTCTCCATTGACATATAAATTAAGTGTTGCCAAGATTCCGAAATTGTGAGTCATCCTATACAATTGTAAAAAAAAATATTATATTTGTCAATGATAATTAATAACACAACAATATATAAATTCAATATGAATTCTTCAAAAGATCTATGATCTTCATAAAAAAATCTTCCAAAGTGAATGAATTGCAGTGATAATTATGATAATGTACTGTACGTGAACAAGCATTGCTTGTCTTTTCTCAACAACAACTATTCCACTTAAAAAAGCAAATCTTAAATTTTTTTCGGAGAATCTAAGAAATACAAGACAACTGAGAAGCATAGTTTCATGGAACTTTATCGATATATTATAAAAAGGCAACTTATAATCATATCATCGTCTCAAGTATCATACAAATTGTATAAAACTAAATATTGAAATTTTAATTGTCATTGTTAGTATTCTCAACGAAAAATAGTAAACACAGTTGTTTAATGGTTCTGTTGAAGGTTTAAAATAAGAAATGTCTCATTTTTTTCCAAAACATTTCTCATTGTTTTTTCCACTTATCTCTTATCTCTTTCGATAGTTCATTGAGAAAAGTGTTGAATTTTGGCATTACAGTTGACAGAAAATGTAATTATGAAGCGAAAAATATTGATGAATGAGCACTTATATATGATAAAGACAAAATAAGTTCAGTATTTTTTTTCATTGATATCTTCAAGTAAAATTTCTTCTATAATAATCTCAATACAATAGTGTAGCGTGAACGAGATATTTCAATGAATGGCCGTATACCTGCCAATTGCTGCCGTAACCAACTGAGAAGTTCATCTTCTGTTGAGTTTTCCTCTTCCTCACCATCTTCTATTCGATATCGTTTTCCTCCTTTGTCATCGTCACATTGTACAAATAATAATCGTAATTTGTGCATAGCTTTAACTAGATAACATATTGATAATCGATTTTTAATAGTAATGTGAAGTTCTTCACATTGCATAGTAAGAGGTGAACGATTCAGTCGTAAACATTGTTTTTCATTGTATGATTACCTAAGTCCTAATAAACAGAGTCGTTTTATCGATGTATTCTTGACTTCTAATAACAGGTTTGCTATGTAAATCGATTTGAACAGATTTTGAAAAGTCTAAGAACGATGGATGGTGTGTACGAGAAATTAAAAGTTGAATTTGTTTTTGACATTCTTCACTATTATGATTTGACAGTATCTCGCATGAAGTTAAATGATCGAATGTTGGAAACATTGACCAGAAATGATCGCTGATAGGAAATGTTATTGTCAGTTTTTTTAGTTTGTAAAACTGAATACCAGAGAGTTGGGGAAATTGTTCAGGTTTAACATCATAGTTTAAATGATGCACAGCATCGTATGAGTATTGATTCTTCTCATCAAGACAAGTTGATTTCCAAATTGTTGAATCAGATATATCAAAGTAGTCAAAAGCATATGGCAAAGTATAAAGATAAAAGTTTCCAATACCTGGATTCCAATCACATCGAACAAACCAACCATATTTATTAAGCCAAAATGGTGTTCGATATGTATTGAGTAATTCATAAACTTGTTCATCAACTGTTTTGTTTCCTCTAAAGTAATCTACCATGTTAAGATGAAATGTTTCTAGTTTGAGTAAATAATTCGAAATAATTCTTTCCCATTCATGTTCACTAATGTGTATAGCATGATAATAATAATAATCTACTTTCAATCGACACAAATTGGGCATCAATATTAACATGTTAAATAATTCACATTGACAAGAACTTAGTAACAATTTGAAACCAGTTATTGATAGAACAGGTAACGTTAAGAATCGATCAGGACAATTGCGGTGAAATGATATCGTTAAATGTTGAAGATTTGGTGTATTTTTACATATTTTATCCAAGTTGAAAGTTATTCTATCAAGATCCAATAAATACACATATGCTATACTTGATGAATATACAGTCGGTTGTATGAAAATGCCATCAATAAATACAGGCAAACATCGCCTGCAAAATAACAATAAGTGAGTTTCGGTAGACTCCATATACAGTTGATCAATCTCAGCGCTGTTGATAGATCTTCATCCTCGTCTTCTGTCAAAGAAAATCGTCTGAGACTGATATGAGCGAGATTGATTAAGCGAGATAATGCCAAAATTATTTTTTTCATTAACTCTGGATTTGAAAGATAGCCTAATGAAAGTGATTTCAATTGAACAAAGTGGTTAAGTATGGAATCATAAGTACTTGATTGATAAAGTGAATGACAAAGATCACTCTCTTCTGCTGAATGCAATGAAGGTATTTTATCAATTAAAGTTGGAAGATATGCTTGACAGATTGTAACAAAATCATTGAAGTAGAATAATAGAAAATTGATGCCATTAATGATAACATTACGAGAAAGAAGAGAATTAAATCGCGTACTGAGACCATGAAATGCATGAAAAAGATGACTCGTATCGAGAAATTCGAATACAGTGAGGATTAATTCGTTAGCTAATGATTCGAAAGTAATTTTTTCTGTATTTCTTCTTTAGTCGTCAAAGTACAACGTATCTATGCATATGGACAAGTTTTGTTTTTGTTCCCAATGATGGTATACTTTCGTTCTTATATCCTGTAACCAATCGAATGCTGATGAAAGTATTGAAATTCTAACTAAACTTTCGTTTAAACACCTTCTCTTATAAAGATTTTTTTGATAAATTATAATCAATGCAATGATATCTGTTGGTACTTAGTAGATCTTGTAGACCTCCGTGTAGGACTCAACATTTGCATTAAAACGATATTATCGAATTTCGATCTGAAATTTTTTCTGCATGCTAGTTTAGATAATGTTTATATGTGGCTAATAAATCTTTTCTGATTTGTTGATAGATACAAATAAAAGAGACTGTTTATTATTTATTTTTGTTGACACACGAGATGGATAAGAGTCGATGACACCATAATAAACATGAATTGAGGAGGGTAGATATGCACCTCTCCGCTATATCATAAATGAAACATTACTTTCTAGACTACAATCTACCTAATCTACTTGTCCTATCTACCACATGAATCAAGATTCATTTAAAAAAATGGATAATAACAAACAATGTTTCAATACTCTTGCATAAATTGTATGCTTTATCGATCTAGTAGCCAATTTTATGATTGGATATGTCTTAGTACAGATATAAACGGACTGATGAACAATGCTTGATCCTATTTTACATAGTTATAATCATGAATAGAATGAATTCGCCTTCTTTCTCTATGGAATCATTGATTAAGATGTATAATACAATTCTAGTCTTACTTGTAGAGTTAATATTCTAAATTGTTCGATTATGTTTCAGATAATGATAAAAATACAATAAATGCAAAAAGATTTTTGTAACAGGTAAAGTCAGGTAGTCACCGAATCTGACAAATAAAAAAAATTGAATGCACCTTTATGTGTTAGGCTTTTAAATGGAGCGTTTTCAAGTTTTAACTGATCCGAACCCGTCAAAAAGCGCTTTATATGTATACCGTTTTTCTCTGATAAAACTTAATGTGATTAAGTTGACGTGCTCTTATCATAATAAATAAACAGTTTTATTTTAACAGTTATCAGTTTTATTTCTTTAATTGAAATATAGAAACACAACCAAAACTTTGTTATTTCACTTTAGCTTTTGCTGAAGATGTAATTTAGGCTCGAATTGTCCATCGAGGACAAACTTATGATTCGTCTATAAAAGTTGAATGATAACTTTCAAGATTTGAAGTTTAGCAATTATTAACATACAATGCAAAAGTAATGGTGCAAAATGTCGATTCCTATGTTTCTTTGATAAATAGGCTCTGAAAAGAATATTTAATCATCAATTGATAGCAAGTATTCTCCTCTTTGAAACAATATATGATTCATATTTATCACATCTTGGTAAATGAATCTAGTCGAGAAAAACGAGAAACAGTCGTGCAATAAATTTGTAATATTCAAAAGATTCCATACAAGTAGAAGTAATTACTGTTTTACAAGGTCCTTTTAATGAGTTCATAGAACTTTCGTTGAAAAGAAATAAGAATCGACATTTTTGCCATTATTTTTGCATCGCAGATTATAATCAACTATAATATGGTATTGCCTCTTAGATACTGGTAAAAACATGAAGACAAAAAAAAAGGAAAAATGAACGTTTTTTGTAGTCATTCTCATTCATTTATTAATAGCTACCGAGCAAATCAGTCAGTTTTCATCGGTGTATCTGGGTAGATGCGAGTGTAGAAGTTAGTAAACTGAAGATCCATATCCATTTACTTTCACAGACACATGCACACTATCTGTTTCGATTAGAATGTTTAATCATTTATTATTCTCTGAAAAAAAGTGCATATTTCAATGTTTAATCATCGAATTTTACATCTTATGCATAGTTGTCAAGAGAAAAATGGTGATAGTTTATTACCAATGAACTTTCGCTCTACTCATAGCCACATTCGTAACTATGAATGGCTTGTATTTTTCATTTGAAATGAAACCTTATCTTCCTTTTCAAAGATTCATCCTCCGTATTTCATTTATACTTGTGGTTTCTCGTTTCTGTTTTTTAGTTTTGTTTTGTTTTTATTTGTGCTTAAAGAATGTCATACAGAGTCCTGATGATTACTTATTTTTCAATACAAACACAAAAAAAGCATCGCCCAAATTGATTGCACATTCCTCAAAGTCTTCTAGTCGAAGAACATAAATTTATCATGGTACTGTTCTTTAATCTTCTACTTTCTTGATTGCTGAAAAGCCAAAGTTGAAGTTAGTAGGTTGAATTAGTCTCTTCTTCAATATATAGATCGATTTGTTTTCGATTGATTTACACAGCCTCATCTTGGCTGACAATCACATTTGTGTTTTATATTTATCGTTGACATGATTTATTTATTTAGCTGAACTCTCAAATTCATACATATATGGAAAAAAAAATAGTGTCTTTCTAGACAGTAGACTGTTCTGCACATTCATCCAAACATATGTCTATTCTTCGACCATCTTCGGTTCGTATAAGTGATGTTATCTTAAATGGTGCATATCGTAAAATCAATACTTCATTTTCTCCAGGAAAATGCGATATTCGTCCAATATCGAGTGCTGTGTGACGGCGAATGTTATTGATATTATATGTGGAAAATATTGATATTCCTCCAGGAGAAGTACCACCAAAAAGTTCAGCTACATCGCGATTCCGTGATGTGGATAGAAATGTTGTTGTTATTATTATAACACCTTCCCTGTAATTAGCTATAGGTTTCTCATCCTGAAGAAATATACCACGATAAACTGTTTCATTTCGAACAAGGTATTGATCTAAACTTGGATGAAACAGAATGCTAGTGAAGGCTTCTGTGTACTCTTGAGTGTAGGCCAGAACTGGACAATTCAGGAGTGTACAATAAAGCTTTAGTAAATGATGAGTATTTGCAGCTGAATGCTTATTCAGACGCCCAGTAAATTCACTACTGCAAGTGTAGGCTTTAATAATCGCTAATAGATTATTCTGTTGACGAGCTTGTTGGAAATATTTTCTAATCTGATTCCAACTGCTGTCAGTAGGTAAGAAATTTAAAAATGTTTCTTCTATTGTACGTACTTGACCAGCAATACTGGAGGATAGTTTTAGTTTTTCAAAATCCTTGTGAAAACCTTTAGCTATTTGTATAGCTTTATCATTTTCATCAATATTCAAATGCCATTCTGGCCAGTCTAGTTTGCTTCGTTGACGTAAAATATCATGTAGATCGCAGTCGCCAGCGCAATAGATCTTTTCTCGTAAATCTTCCAAATGCATTTCGGATGATGTTTCAGCTGTAGTAGAAGGCAATGCCGATATTGAAATCGTTTTCCTTCTGGTAATAGAACATAGTATAGCCACCAACCATTCTCGAACCGTCGATAGCCATCCACATGAAACCATTTGGTTTATCTGAAAATTCAGCAGCTAAGCAATAGTTGTATACCCCATAGATCATCCGATAGGCATTTCGATTCGTCGATTTAAGGATGTCATAAATATCAAAATTTCAGAGGGACCCTGCAATTTTCATTTTCTAATAGGTCAGTAAAACGCGAATTTTTCGACCAGTCACACAATTTCATCGAGAGGGATTAAAATTTGACTGAAAAAAAAGAATTTTTTCCTACAGATGCGTCATTGGTGAATAGTCAAAACTTATACAATAAACATCGAGGAAGAGATTCAAACGTAGACACTTACCAGTAACATTCGTCGAACATCAAAACTGAATGTTGCACTATTGTTGTTCTATGAAACTTATCTTTTCAATTCCTAGAAGGATAGTACATTCAAGAGTTCTCAAATTAAAAAAAACCTTTTAATTGCATGGAAATTCCTTTTATATGACTCTGACTACAGAAGGGTGTGGGTGTATTCATAAGGCAAAACTCATTATGAATGGGTTTTTCGTTGAACAAGCTTATGAACTCTGGTGCTACTTGTTATTTTTCATCAGTTAATGATAAATATGTTTTAGAAAATGATGAAACTAAAGAAAACATATGTCGAGCATATATCATTGTACCAAAGCAGCCGAATGAAAGAGACATTTGTAACAACCGTTGCATATAAGCTGCGACCAATGTTGCTCAATCAGCGTTCTTATATTGTCATTTCACTTACATATTTCAAAAGTGCATGGATTAATGAATTATTGGTCACCAACCAGACTTTGATAGATCAAACCGTTGCTGAGATATTCAATTTTCAATGTGAGACCATTGTTCTTCAACAGATTCTATTGCTCTTACTGGTGTTCACTGACAAGCGTGACATTTTTAATTGACGTGATGTAGAATCATGAAAGTTCCAGCATAGAGACAGATTGAGTTGCGATATCAAACAAAACGATTCTCGGCTGTAGATGTCGTTCCATGGCCGAGGTATAAATGTCGCTAGTAGTGAGATTGCATCATTCAATATCTTTTGGGTAACCAACTCTTTAAGGCTGAAAACTTTATAGTAGATATTAGAGCTGTAGAGCTATATAATGGTGAAAGAAAAAATCGGGGAGACTAAGCATAACTTGGAATATCGAAATTTTACGATAATTTACTACATTTTTAGCTGGTTTTATAGATTTTTGTCTTAGTTTTGTTGAATCAAGGAGGATAAAAATATCTTATTTGGGATCAGTACCAAACTCTGAATCAAACAATATACATATTGTAAAACAAAAATTTCCATCAAAAACTCATCCGAGGCGGAGTAAGATCACTTTTGGATAAAAGTTTTTTTTACAAAACATATATTGTTTGAAACTGTAGTAAATTAACGTAAAACTTCGATATCTCGAGTCATGCTGGTGTAACTCAGTCATTGAGCGGTATCTAGAGTTAGGATTTTTTATGTAGCGACACTCAGTCTGTATCTATCCTGAAATTTTCATGATTCTATATCATGTTAATCAAAAATGGGACGCTTGTTAGTGAACATCAGTAAGCTCAACATCGTCTGTTGAAGGAAAATGGTCTTACACTACAAATTGAATATCTCAGCAACAGCTGGAACTAGCGAGGTCTAGTTGGTGGCAAAAAAACTCATTAATTGGTGCACTTTTGAAATATGTAAGTGAAATGAAGATGTAAGAAAATCAAGTGAGCAGCACGGTCGCGAAAGGTTGTGGGTTAAGTGCAACGGTTGGTGAATAATTTTGTGATGAAGTTTTACGAAATCAACATTAACCTCACTACTTGAAACTTTCATTCCGCCGGGCTTGTTTCTACTGAAGCACTCAATAATTTGCATTCGGTATGTTTTTTGGTCTCGAGTAGTCGAAACTTAGGTGAGTATCGAGGGGAGTAAAAGTGCTTGAAGACTTGAAAATCAATGTCTGATAGGATGCAGCTTTCGAGTAGTCGGGTACCGGTGACTGTCGAAGAACTCGACATCGGAACAGAACGAAAAAAACATATGCGTCAAATTTTCGAGTGCTTCTCACATCCATTATATGCTTTTTAAAGTCACCTTGAGTAGGCACTGGAAGAATTCTTGTTTCATGTTAGCCTTACTGAAGAATTAGAAACTCAAGACCGATGATCATGTACATAGATATCGTGGGACAATATCAATTGTGATGTATTTCCGAAATTTTCAGCATAGAAAGTAGAGCCCTTATAGAAGGTTAATTTACACATGTACATTTAATAAAAAGTTCTAATTCTACTAGTCTGATCTTTATACTGTTAGGACACTATCATTCGCTTTTATTTGTTCAACTTAAATTTTATTTTAGTTACAACAATGTAGAATGAAATATGGATTGGGTGTGGCTGTGTGGTTTGGCTGCATGTGCGGATGTAGAGGTCTAGATGTTGGTGTGAAATCTGTGTGGTACACAGCTTCCACAAAACATAATTAACATCCATACGTTCAAGTTTATTACTCGATCAAAGGGGTCACAATATTCGATCAGAAGAAACTTGCTAGCTCTATGTCCATTTATTTAAAAAAGAGAAAGGTCAATACGTTATACTTATCCAATAGAGTAATATATTTTATCCTAATTTTGCAAATACTTGATTATGTGCAACGGAGAGAGAATGAAATACTTTGTACAAGATTAATGTGTTTATTTGTGTTTTATTTATTCTTTTCGAAATAACCTTCGTAGCAATAGCGGAATTCAGTTTGACTACATTTTTCGTCACTTCCTATGTACGAAAATGTATGTTTTTATGCTAAGCGAAAAAGTTTCAATCCCCAAATACATCTGATCGCTTCTACTTTGAATTATGTAAGATTGGTGTGAGAGTTAGAGATGACGATTCAGATCTTTCTACAATCATACACATCTCAATAATAAAATACTTCTGTGTTATGAGAACATTCAGTATTGAAAATAATTCTGTGCGTTCATATATTTGAAGAAAACTGAAGCAACTGGCCTCGCGTGATATACTACTTTCTTTAGGAATACATGTGATCTCTAGATGCAACAAAATATATATCATACTAAAAACAATGAACTCAAATTTCGATGTAAAAACCTCATGGAACCCGTGACATAGCTTCCATCTGACAAACAGAGGTGGGTGGAGTTGTGTGTCGGTTTTCCTTCAGTTTCGACTGAAATCTACGCCACCATGCTGAAGGTAGAATTGAAAATAATCGTTAGTAATTCGCTACATTAGGTTTCTGCTGAATCGAATATTCATTAAATATCGATGAAAAATATACCATTCAATACAAAAAATACTTTATTTAAAAAAACTAAATGACCCAGCTTTGTTCAATAAGAAATGAAGGAGTGATAAAAAGTACTGAAAAAAATTCCGAAATTACTCATGAAATCATAAGCCCTCTATCTACACAAGAATAAAACGTTCAAGTTCGAGAATTTTTGCAAAATTCTTTCCTGTCTCATGTAAATATCTTATGTTTAGCGTAGGTTTGCTTGATTGCTCAGCATCGACAAATGAATACTCGAATGGCTAGTGGGGAGTGTGGATGTGGATGTGTTTGTTTGTTTATGATATATTTATGCACACCCACACCCTTAACATGATAGGTCTTAATGTGTGCATTTAAGCCAACATAGTTTATTTTATATGCGCATATTTTTGCTTTAACGGGTATTGGTTAACTTAGGAAACAGACTGGACCAAATGTACGTGCTCTTGTTTCACATATTAGATATTCTACAAGAGATTTGATTTGCGCATGAAATATATCATGATATTTTAGTTGATTTCGTTTGCGATAGTATTCCTACTGTCATTAGCTAATGTTGCGTCGTTGGTTTTCCCATCATCATCTTTTTCTACGTATGGTCTTCACTTAAACCATCAAGTAAAAATGACATAAATTCTTGTGAATCTTGTTGCGAAAAACCGCTAAATTTTGGTGAATAATTTGCAACACTTCGTTTGAAAAATCTTGTTATATCAAAATCTGTATTACCTTACCATATGCTATAGCAACATCATCTTTTATACGTAGTGAATTATCATGGTTTATATGTTCTCGAGATTCATTACTAAGAAAATATTTTGTTAAAGCTGAATTCATGAAACAAGTATCGTCCAAATTTGATAAACCACAAAGTCCACAAATAAATTCTGTTCGCGACAAACAAGCCACCTCTAGTGGTAATTCTGTCTTCATGTATAATAAATGCATTTTTTTTTGTTAAACTGACATCTTCAAGAGTTGAGCCTGGTCCATCATCAAGAGATTCCTATTTTTGACCATTTTCATTCAATGATGAATATAATCGATAGTTTGATCTTAATTGAATACAGAATTCATTACAAATATCTTTTTTTATTTCTTCTGTCTTAGTTCGACGACTATGCTAAATTTGTTATAAGTTTGCAATGCCATCTCTTGATTGACGCAATCGTAAAGGTATAAGAAAAGCTTCAATTACAGTTTGAAATAGACTTTATGTGATAACTCTACAAATTATTTCAGGACCAACTTTATTCTATGTCTCTACTAGGTCTTGATACAGTTGATATGAAACAAAGGTATAATCATTTCCTTCAACAGCATCAGAACGAAGTTGTACTTCATTGAAAATGTTAGCTGTTGACTAGAGCCCGTCGGGTAGGACCCGGACCCGGACCCTACCCGGACCCGCACGGGTCCGGGTCCGGGTCCGGGTCCAAAAATTTTACTTTGGCCGGGTCCGGGTCCGGGTCCGGGTCCAAAAATTTTATTTTGACCGGGTCCGGGTCCGGGTCCGGGTCTGAAAATTTTGCTTTAACCGGATCCCGGTCTGAAGAAAACTTTGATCCATACAATTTATTTTGAATTTTTTTAAAGTTTTGTTCGTTTTATACAAAGAAGAGATCAAATATATTTAGAAAATAGATAAAAAACAACAAAACCCTTCTTGACTATACTATCTAAACTGACTTGTCATTGTGTTTGGATCCAAAAAATTTAAGCAACCG